TAAGTAATGTGAAACACAAACCGAAAGAAAAAAAAGTGCCCACCTAGCCTGTCTTGGTCTCAAGCGCTTTGCCGTTCTTAAATATTCAAGGTTCTTGTGATCCGTGTAAAATCAATATCGGGTGCACGGCTTTCCTTCCAGCAAGTACCTCCATTCCTCCAACGCTGCCTTGATGGCCAGGAGTTCTCGGTCCCCCCTATGTCATAGTTCCTTTCGGCAGAAGACAGTTTTCCTGGAGAAAAATGCCACGGGATGCATCAATTCCTTGATGCCCTTCCTTTGGGAAAGCACAGCCCCAACCGCGTTTTCGGATGCATCCACCTCCAAGATGTAGGGTAGTGAAAGAATCAGGATGGCTCAATACTGGGGCCTCGGTGAAATAACCTTTTTAGGGACTCAAAGGCTTCTTGCGCCTCAGGTGTCCACTTGAAACGCATTCCTTGTTTGGTAAGTTGCGTGATAGGGGATACCAGGCCTGAAAAGTTAATAATGAATTTCCCGGTAAAAATTGGCAAAGCCAATGAACCGCTGAAACGCCTTTTAATCCAACGGCACCGGCCATTCCAGAACTGCGGAGATCTTCTGGGGATCCATCGCTATTCCCAGTAGTAGAAATAACTAAGCCTAAGAAGGGAATACTGTGCTGCTCAAAACTGCATTTTTTCCGCCTTTGCGTATAAACCATGCAAATGGAGCCTTTCCAGCACTTCCCTGACGTGACCCCTATGCTCCTCCAGAGATGCAGAAAAAATTAAATTATCATCAAGATAGATGACCACAAAGATATCCAAGAAGTCCCTGAACACATCGTTAATGAAGTGCTGGAAGGCGATGGGGGCGTTACACACAGACCGAAGGGCATTACCAGGTACTCAAAGTGCCCGAACCTAGTACGGAAGGCAGTCTTCCACTCATCTCCCTCCCGAATACGGACCAGATTGTAAGCCCCCCTCAAATCCAACTTCGTAAAAACGGATGCAGTCCTGAGTCGCTGAAACAGTTCTGGTACTAAAGGAAGTGGGTAACGGTTTTTTACCGTGATCTTGTTAAGCTCCCTATAGTCCACACAGGGCCTTAAGGATTTATCCTTCTTCTCAACAAAAAAAAATACCCGCCCCCCCGGCCGGGGACGTGGAGGGGCGTATGAACCCCTTCTGAAGATTTTCCTCAATATATTTCTTTTAGTACCTCCAGTTCCTTTTCTGACAAAGGAAAGATCCGCCCGAAAGGTACCTCAGATCCCGGGAGCAGATCGATCGAGCAGTCGTAGGCCCTATGCGGGGGAAGATTGTCAGCTCCCTGCCTACTAAATACGTCAAGGTATTGATGGTAAACTGAAGGGACGAGTCGTGTCAGCTCTAGGTCAGTATCTACGCAGAATAGTGTGCGTGGGGCCTCCGGCTCAGGTGACAACAATGATCTTGGCAGTATGGAGAGCCGAACCGGAGGGTACCGGCTTTCCAATTAATCTGGGGGTCGTGGGCTCACAGCCACGGAAGCCCCAGTATAATTGGAAACAGAGGGGAGGAGATAGCATTCAAACACAGGAATTCTCGATGAGTCTCGGATATAGTTACACAGAGAGGTGGGGTCTCCCGGTCCACCACCCCAGACTTAATCCGAGATCCATCGGCTAGGAAAATATTAAACCCACATTCCTTAACCTGTAAGGGAATCTGGAATCGAGCCGCGAAGTCCAGATCCACAAAACAGCTACAGGCCCCGGAATCAACGATCGCTGTAGCCGTCACGACCCTTCCGGGGAGCTGGAATGAAATGGGTACCGCTAAATAATTGACATTGTGACTGGCTGTAGTAGGTATGGCAGAGTAAACAGAAGTGCACTTACCAGCCTTCACCGGACAGGAACATACCATGTGGCCCGCTTCCCCACAGTAGAGGCACAGGTTGTTGCGTCGGCGTCTCTGACGCTCCTCAGGTGTTGGGGAGGGACGAGCTAGTCCAACTTGCATTGGCTCAGGTGTACCCAGAGGTTCTGGATTGCGATTCCCAGTAGGGCTACTGACTGGTCCTGGAGCATGGGGTAACATCCAAGCAGGCCTCAGGCCCTGACCTGACCTCTCCATCCTGCGCTCGCCCGCAAGCGTCGGTCGATCTGAATAGCCAGGGTCATGAGCTCTTCTAGTGTGGCTGGTATGCCTACCTGTCAGGAATGGACTGGCCAGCAATGGTGGGACTCACCTGCCTTTTGATCTGCAGTACCAGGGGCTGGCCAGCGGGTGCTCCCCAGCAATCAGAGACTCAACTTTGCAGCAGCTAACACCTGGAACTGATTATGCTGGGGTATTTAAGGGATGGCCAGACCCACAGACTCTGCCTTGGTGTGTGTTTGTCCTGGGCCCTGTATCTGTCCTGCATCCTGTTTCTGTTCCTTTGCTGACCCTCTGTACTACGCTGCTTGCTACCTGTCCTGATCCCTGGCTTGTGACCCTGACCATCCCTCTGCCTGACCCTCTGTACTACGCTGCTTGCTACCTGTTCTGATCCCTGGCTTGTGACCCTGACCAACCCCCTCTGCTTGACCCTCTGTACTACGCTGCTTGCTACCTGCTGAAACCTGCCTGTGACCCCGACCATTCTCCGCTTGCTCCCCCTGTACCTACCTGCCCAATTGATATTGGACCCGGCCTGCCTGACGACGCTTGCTTGTATGTACTGTTATCTGTGGGTGGTGTTGGTTTGGTTTGTTTGCACTGTATTATGTTTAGTATTGCACTGCGTTTATGTTTGTATTGTTAGTGTTAATAAATTATATTGTTTATCCCATATCTGAAGTCTGCGTTTCCCTGCGTCAGTCACACATCTCTGGTCATACCTGGGAGCCCTGACATTACACCAAGGCCAATCCTGACCAGAAGTGGCTGCACAGGGAAGCCATCTTGGTTGTTGATGGGAAGGATGGATCTGGATGAGGTTGAGTATTTATCTCTGCTAGTGTTTGATGACAGGGAGTATGCTTATCAAACTCTGAAGGAGTATCCCCGGGATGAACTGCTAGAATGTATACGGCTCGCTCATGTTCTAGTAGATCAGGGCACAGAGTTCTCTGAGGTGCAGCCTTTGATTGAGGTTTGTGCAGAGTTGGTTTCATCTGGTTCCCCCGAATGCAGGGATGAATTTTTGCCACCATTTAGTGCAGACCAGGTAGAGTCCCTGGTGTGGTTATTAGAGGATGATGTGGGTTTACTTTCTGGAACGTTATTCCACATGTTCACCACAGACACTAAGAGTTTGTATAAACGCAGTGCAGTCATTGACCAGACAGGCTTTGTGTAAGCTCAGCTTTGTTCAACCCCTACTGCAGACATGGACAGACTTGTTGCACCCAGCCTCAGTCAGCTTACAAAAACCCAGTCCTGCTTCTAACTCTTCTCCTGTATTCCCAACAGCTCCTCCAGTTACAGCCCAGTATACTTGGCTATCTACCGCATGTCAGTACCCCTGTTCCCACTCGCTGCACCTATCCTGCCTTTAACCCTGTAAAAAAGCCCTCTGTAGCAACTGCTCCCTCTCCTGTTCCATCCTCCAGTTCTTCTCTGTCTCCAGCTGCTCCATTCGTTTGCAGACCTGCGTTTACTTGCAGTGCTCCAGTAGTTAAAACCAGAAAAAAGCGAAAATTCTTTCCAACCAATACCATCCTGCCAGTATCCAAACCGGTGAACCTGCCTTCCGTGGTTCAGCCTGAAGCCTCTACTCGGCCTGAAGCCTCTACTCGGCCTGAAGCCTCTACTCGGCCTGAAGCCTCTACTCAGCCGGACGCCGGCATTCAGCCTGATGCCTCTACCCAGCATGATGAACTGATCCAGCCTGATGATCCTATTAGGCCAGTTGACTCGATTCCCGCTGTTGATCCAGATGATCCGGTACCTGATCTGGTGCTCGCTGTCGTGCCAATTGACTCAGAGCCCGCTGTCGTACCTGGTGACTCGGTGCCCACTGCCTTGCCAGATGACGCGGTGCCCGCTGGCAAGCCAAATGACCTGATGCCTGGTGACCCAGTGCCCGCTGTCGAGCCAGACAATCCGGTACCTGATGACCCGGTGCCCACTGTCGTGCCTGTTGATTCGGAGCCCACTGCCTTGCCAGATGACGCGGTGCCCGCTGTTGAGCCAAATGACCTGATGCCTGGTGACCCGATGCCCGCTGTCCAGTCAGACGATCCAATGTCTGACCCAGTGCCCGCGGTCATACCAGTTGACTCGGAGCCCACTGCCTTGCCAGATGACGCGGTGCCCGCTGTTGAGCCAAATGACCTGATGCCTGGTGACCCGATGCCCGCTGTCCAGTCAGACGATTCAATGTCTGACCCAGTGCCCGCGGTCATACCAGTTGACTCGGAGCCCACTGCCTTGCCAGATGATGCGGTGCCCGCGGTCGAGCCAAATGACCTGATGCCGGGTGACCCGATGCCCGCTGTCCAGCCAGACGATCCAATGTCTGACCCAGTGCCAGCGGTCATGCCAGTTGACTCGGAGCCCACTGTCGTGCCAGATGACTCGGCGCCCGCCGCTCTGCCTGAGGGCCCGAGACCTGTCGCTCCACCTGGGGGTCCGGCGCCTGCCGCTCCGCCTGAGGGCCCGAGACCTGTCGCTCCGCCTGAGGGCCCGAGACCTGTCGCTCCACCTGGGGGTCCGGCGCCTGCCGCTCCGCCTGAGGGCCCGAGACCTGTCGCTCCGCCTGGGGGCCCGAGACCTGTCGCTCCACCTGGGGGTCCGGCGCCCGCCGCTCCGCCTGAGGGCTCGAGACCTGTCGCTCCACCTGGGGGTCCGGCGCCCGCCGCTCCGCCTGAGGGCCCGAGACCTGTCGCTCCACCTGGGGGTCCGCGCGCCCGCCGCTCCGCCTGAGGGCCCGAGACCTGTCGCTCCATCTGGGGGTCCGGCGCCCGCCGCCGCTCCGCCTGGGGGCCAGAGACCTGTCGCTCCGCCTGGGGGCCCGAGACCTGTCGCTCCGCCTGGGGGCCCGAGACCTGTTACTCCACCTGGGGATCCGGCGCCCGCCGCTCCGCCTGAGGGCCCGAGACCTGTCGCTCCACCTGGGGGTCCGGCGCCCGGCGCTCCGCCTGAGGGCCCGAGACCTGTCGCTCCACCTGGGGGTCCGGCGCCCGCCGCTCCGCCTGAGGGCCCGAGACCTGTCGCTCCATCTGGGGGTCCGGCGCCCGCCGCTCCGCCTGGGGGCCCGAGACCTGTCGCTCCGCCTGGGGGTCCGGCGCCCGCCGCTCCGCCTGAGGGCCCCGAGACCTGTCGCTCCGCCTGGGGGCCCGAGACCTGTCGCTCCACCTGGGGGTCCGGCACCCGCCGCTCCGCCTGAGGGCCCGAGACCTGTCGCTCCACCTGGGGGTCCGGCGCCCGCCGCTCCGCCTGAGGGCCAGAGACCTGTCGCTCCGCCTGGGGGCCCGAGACCTGTCGCTCCGCCTGGGGGCCCGAGACCTGTTACTCCACCTGGGGATCCGGCGCCCGCCGCTCCGCCTGAGGGCCCGAGACCTGTCGCTCCACCTGGGGGTCCGGCGCCCGGCGCTCCGCCTGAGGGCCCGAGACCTGTCGCTCCACCTGGGGGTCCGGCGCCCGCCGCTCCGCCTGAGGGCCCGAGACCTGTCGCTCCATCTGGGGGTCCGGCGCCCGCCGCTCCGCCTGGGGGCCCGAGACCTGTCGCTCCGCCTGGGGGTCCGGCGCCCGCCGCTCCGCCTGAGGGCCCGAGACCTGTCGCTCCGCCTGGGGGCCCGAGACCTGTCGCTCCACCTGGGGGTCCGGCACCCGCCGCTCCGCCTGAGGGCCCGAGACCTGTCGCTCCACCTGGGGGTCCGGCGCCCGCCGCTCCGCCTGAGGGCCCGAGACCTGTCGCTCCACCTGGGGGTCCGGCGCCCGCCGCTCCGCCCGAGGGCCCGAGACCTGTCGCACCACCTGGGGGCCTGATGCCTTTCGCCCCGCCTGGGGGCCCGATGCCTGTCGCCCCGCCTGGGGGCCCGATGCCTGTTGCCCCGCCTGGGGGCCCGATGCCTGTCGCCCCGCCTGGGGGCCCGATGCCTGTCGCCCCTCCTGGGGGCCCGGCGCCCGCCGCTCCGCCTGGGGGCCCGATGCCGGTCGCCCCACCCGGTGCCCGATGCCTGCTGCTCCGCCCGGGGGCCCGGTGCCTGCTGCTGCTGCTCCGCCCGGGGGCCTGGTGCCTGCTGCTCCGCCCGGGGGCCCGGTGCCTGCTGCTCCGCCCGGTGACCCCGCTGCCTGCTGCTTCGCCTGGTAATCCGATGTGCCTCTGCCCGGAGTCCAGCCCGATGTGCCTCTGCCCAGAGTCCAGCCCGATGTGCCTCTGCCCGGAGTCCAGCCCGATGTGCCTCTGCCCGGAGTCCAGCCCGATGTGCCTCTGCCCGGAGTCCAGCCCGATGTGCCTCTGCCCGGAGTCCTGCCCGATGTGCCTCTGCCCGGAGTCCTGCCCGATGTGCCTCTGCCCGGAGTCCTGCCCAATGTGCCTCTGCCCGGAGTCCTGCCCGATGTGTCTCTGCCCGGAGTCCTGCCCGATGTGTCTCTGCCCGGAGTCCTGCCCGATGTGCCTCTGCCCGGAGTCCAGCCCGATGTGCCTCTGCCCGGAGTCCAGCCCGATGTGCCTCTGCCCGGAGTCCAGCCCGATGTGCCTCTGCCCGGAGTCCAGCCCGATGTGCCTCTGCCCGATGTGCCTCTGCCCGGAGTCCAGCCCGGTGTGCCTCTGCCCGATGTGCTTCTGCCCGGAGTCCAGCCCAATGTGCCTCTGCCCGGTGTCCAGCCCGATGTGCCTCTGCCAGGTGTACCGCTGCCCGGAGTCCTGCCAGGTGTGCCAGTCTTTGATATCCCGCCAGTTACCAGACCCGGGCGGTGGAACATTTTTCCCAGCTAGGATTGTTTGGAGCGTCCTGAGGGCCGCTCCTTGAGGGGGGGGGTACTGTCAGGAATGGACTGGCCAGCAATGGTGGGACTCACCTGCCTTTTGATCTGCAGTACCAGGGCTGGCCAGCGGGTGCTCCCAGCAATCAGAGACTCAACTTTGCAGCCAGCTAACACCTGGAACTGATTATGCTGGGGTATTTAAGGGATGGCCAGACCCACAGACTCTGCCTTGGTGTGTGTTTGTCCTGGGCCCTGTATCTGTCCTGCATCCTGTTTCTGTTCCTTTGCTGACCCTCTGTACTACGCTGCTTGCTACCTGTCCTGATCCCTGGCTTGTGACCCTGACCATCCCTCTGCCTGACCCTCTTTACTACGCTGCTTGCTACCTGTTCTGATCCCTGGCTTGTGACCCTGACCATCCCTCTGCTTGACCCTCTGTACTACGCTGCTTGCTACCTGCTGAACCTGGCCTGTGACCCCGACCATTCTCCGCTTGCTCCCCCTGTACCTACCTGCCCAATTGATATTGACCCGGCCTGCCTGACGACGCTTGCTTGTATGTACTGTTATCTGTGGGTGGTTGGTTTGGTTTGTTTGCACTGTATTATGTTTAGTATTGCACTGCGTTTATGTTTGTATTGTTAGTGTTAATAAATTATATTGTTTATCCCATATCTGAAGTCTGCGTTTCCCTACGTCAGTCACACATCTCTGGTCATACCTGGGAGCCCTGACACTACCCTGGCTAGTTCGTCTTTCAGGGACTCAGACAGGCCTATGCGGAACTGGTTGCGCAAGGCCGCGTCGTTCCATTGCGTGTCTCCCATCCAACGCCTGAACTCACCCGCATATTCCTCCGCAGGCCTACGACCTTGCCTGAGAGACTGAAGGGCCGATTCGGCTGATGCTGCTCGTTCGGGGTCATCATATAGGAGGCCCATCGCTTCAAAAAATGCTGACACAGATTCCAGCTGAGGTGGCTGCTGGATCTCCAATAGTCGATGAGCCCATTCTTGGGGTTCGTCCAGTAGCAGGGAAATGATGAACCCCCACCTTCACGGTTTCTGTAGCGAATGTTCGCGGCTGTAGCCTAAAGTACAACAGGCAGGGATTACGGAATGCTCTGAACTTGGTGCGATTCCCACTGAATCGCTCCGGGACAGGAACATGAGGTTCTGGCATAGGTGTAGGTGCTGCTGGTCCGGCCGGGGTTTTGGGGGTACCACTGGCCGGAGCTGAGGGACTATGATCTTGGGGGGCCGAAATAGTGGTAGTTAGGGTCTGGATCCGACGGCCCAGGTGATTATAGCCCTCCTCCAGCGCCCTTACCGCCTGAGTAAGAGCCGCCAGGTGCTGGCACATACTTTCCAGGGGAGATGGTCCTCTTCCAGGTTCCGCCATTTGTGGCCGTTTGGTACTGTTATAACCGCCTGGCAGAGTCTCTAGCAGCCCACCGCATGGACGCCCTCAGGGCACGGGGTCTAAGTCCCAGCCTGCTGTTCCCCAGGGCCCCTGATGGTGGGGATGGACTTGGTGCAGACTGGAACCAGGTCGCGACCCCCGAGTGCGTCCTGCGGTGGTAGAGAGTACTGACAGGGGGAGTGCAGGAATGGAATCTAATTTGGAAGAGGCAGACAGATACACTGGTCTGATCCGAGCCGGATGGATGGATGGTCGGGTACGGTATGCATGGTCAGACAGGGCCGGGTCAGTATTATGCGGGCAGCGAGGTACAATAGGAGCGAGCTAAGAATGGTCAGGTCACAAGCCAGGTTCAGCAGGATGCGGGCGAATACAGTACCAGGGATCAGACGGAAGAGTAGTCAGGCAAGCCAGGGGTTAAGCAGGAGAAGAGCAGGATCAGGAACAAGCAGAGGTCGGCAACGGAGTATACAGCAACACAGGAACAGGATACAAGATACAAGACCAAACGGCAACTTGACATACCTGTTCCTATGTTTAAATAGCCCGCCTCCCGCTGTCATTGGTGCCAGGCGCGCGTCCGCGATCCCGAGTGCGCATGCGCGAACCCCACCGCTGCCATGCGCGCCCAGGTCATACCGCCCACCGGGTAGTGAGTGTTGGTGTTCTGCGCATGCGCCGCCCGACGCGATGCCGCAGAACACCCAGATCCTGACACAGCCACAGCCAGTGGAGGGATTGGCAGAGAGGGGTATTAGATACTGAATGGCTGGCAAGGTGGATGAGTCTGGCAGTAGCATTCATGATGGACTAAAGGGACTAAAGGGGGATAACCTATGTAAAGGTAAGCCAATGAGGAGAGAGTTGCAGTAGTCGAGGCGAGAGATAACCAGAAGTGAATAAGAAGGTTTGTGGTGCCATTGGTTAAAAAGGGGCAAATTCTGGAGATGCAAAAACAACTCACCCAAGCTCTACTGCTAATCCAAAAGATGTGAGTGGGGTGCTGGTGCTCAGGCTGATCTTTTAGTCCAAGATATATAGCAATATAGTCGGCAAATCATTTCTTCATCATAATATCTTTATTAGCATACAGTAGAAGATGTAAAATCCATAATAACTGACACATTTCAGCCACAGCCTTTCTCAACGCTTACATTGAAAAACTAAAATACAAGCTTATATAACGTAACAACCCACAATGAAATAGGGGTGGTACATACTTGATTAAAATTATAATTTAGTCAAAGTAATTGCAGGTGAAGGTGAATCAATAAGACTTCAAAGAGAGACAATCTTATCCCATAGAGAATAGCAATATGCATCCCAGTATAAGAACAGCACCACAAATATCATGAAATGCCTAACGGCAACACTGTTCTTACCATGGGTGCATACATTACAAATATAGAATGGAAATAATAAAATCATTATTCATTTGTCATTTCAAAAAATTATTAACATCCATTCTATTATTTATGCCAGAGTGGACCCTAGTATTGAGCGTATGGATCCACCACACTTCACGCCAAAGCAGAATACGCTGTACATCACCCCCTCTTATAGGTTTCCTTATATGTTCCAAACCAAGGAAAGAGGAGGAATCAAGGTTTCCATCATGCTTCTCCCTAAAATGTTTAGAGACATGTAGGTTGTTAGTATCATTGTAATGTTCAGATATTCTAACTCATAATGGACGAATGGTACACCCCACATATTGAAGACAGCAGATACTACATTCTATAGTATAAACAACCATTCTAGAATTGCAGGTAATATAACCTTTAAAAGGATGTATCTTCCCTGTAGAAAAGGAAGTAACTGCAGTACTTTTTTATGTGTTTTACATTGTCTCCATGTGTTTATATCACACAGGTAGGAACCTTTAGTTCTTAACCATTCACTGTTTTGATGATGGGTTCTTGAACAAAATAAACTAGGTGATAGTAAAGTACCTAAAGTGGGAGCTCTCCTACTAGAAAAGTTACAGCCATTTTTTAAAATATCATATAACTCCTTATCTGCATAAAGAATCGGAAAGCATCTTTTAACAATACTGACAATTTGATTGCATTGCATGGAATATGTAGTCACAAAATGAACTTTATGACGTGATTTATATTTACGGAATTTATCTTTCTTCAAGGGTTTGGTAGTTAAAATATCCCGATGTTTCTCTAGGGCTGCAATCATTCCCTGATCTACCAAATGCTTGCTGTACCCCCGCTCTCTCTTAGAGACTATATCACATTCCTTCAAAAAGTCAGATTGACTAGAACAATTCTTTTTGGCCCTGACAAACTCACCTATGGGTAATGCTC